GTCAAACTCATACAAAGTGAGACCCTGTCTAAAAAAAACAAAAAAAAAAAAAAAAAAAAAGAATTGTTCGTGTCCTGTGAGAAGAAATGACCCAATGACAGTCTGTACATAAATAAAAATGTTACAAAATATTTAATCATCTTTTTTTTTCTGTTTTAGATTTTGCTTTCTGTACTATTTTCATAAAATTTTCTACCATAGTTTACCTTTTAACTTGCTCTACATGAGTAGAGAGACCATTAAAAGTACAAATTAAGTACAGTGGAAACAGAGACAATATAAATTGTACTATACTGTTTTCAAAAACTTTTTATTACATATAAAGGAAGGAATGTAATCTTAACAATGAGCCCTTCAATTTAAGTAGAAAGAAATCCTGTCTTGACTTTTATATAAAGTTATTTGGCTTCCAAGTTGGTTATAATTCCAGTTTTGATTTTTGTACAAGTAGATAACTGAAGAATATTTTAAACAAAGTACTTTCAGACTAAAAGAATCTTACTTATTAAATGATTTCATTATGAGTAAATTTTGAAATTAATCATTTATCCCAACACTTTAAATATGTACAATTTTTAAATATCATGTTGCTTTTGTGGCATATTAACATATGACAAAACAAAAGTATGATTTTTAGTAATCCCCAATGTAGTTTTATGCTTATTTTGCTTTTATTTTCTAAACATGGTTGCTAATAACAGACCCAGGATATCATTTAATTCTTACATAAGGACCACAGAGCTAATGTGTATTTTTTGTCTTGGGTGTGCTCGTGATATGGTAGAGTTAAGAGAAAGAAAAGCTTTGTGTGTTTGTAAGAAACAATGTTATGGCAAGCGCAAGGTCCTGAGTTTGATCCCTGGTACTGGAAAAAATAAACAAAACAAAAACCAAACGCAAACAATGTTAAACATTCTACCTAAAAATGAAAAGGAGCAAGGGAGAGAGGGGCTCAAGCAACACAAGTTTCCCTGTTCCCCTTGTACTATTAATGAACGCTTGATTTTTTCAAGAAATGATCTGGCATCTAAACAAGCATTTGTTGTTGATTGCTAATATCTGAACATACTTAGATTTTTGTCACCCTGAAAACTTTGTTTTATAGCAGATCTAAAAATATACAGCATTATCAGCTCACTATATTATTGAATATTTGAAAGAAGACTTCAGAATTTAGCTGTATGAGAATTTTCCATTCTGAAGTTAAATTTACTTTATTCTTTGCTGCCATGAAGCAAACACTTCATGAAAATAGTTTGTTTTTCTGCATGCACATGTAGATTTCAGTTGTTGAGGATCTTGAGACTATAATATGACTATAGTGCTATTTCATTCCTTGTTCTAGCTTTTTTGAATTATTTCCCTTTCTTTAGGGTAGCGTAAAATTAACTTTCACATAATTATAAAAATAATGAGCAAAATTATTTTTAAAGTTCAAGAAGCTACGAGTTGCTAATCTAGTAGACAAAGTTTAAATTGGAATAGAATGTTACTGTTATCATATTTTAATAAATTTGTGTTTATTTTTATGTATAATGTCCACTAAGAGACTAACATGATCCAGACTATCAGTAGTGTCACATAGCTTAGAGGGTGATTTTCTTTATTATCTAATTGATCTAAACATAAATGCCTTTGTACATGTTCTGCATATTTTTGCTAGTAGAGTTCATCTAGTAGGAAGTGATTGAAATTAGGTGCTTACATAAAACAGTGTTGTTAATCAACAGAATAGCAGATAATTAGTTACCATTCCTGAACATGTCTTTTTTTATAGATTTATGGATTTGTGGTAGAAATGTTGGTCTTTTTTATTTTAATGACTTATTTCATGGCTTTTGGAGGGCATGAAAGACTAGAGAAATGTTTTGTATTGTGTGTTCAAAAAAATACAATGTACTTTAAACTCCACTACCAAATATTTTAAAAATAGATTTTCAACCCAGCTGGTCAACTCTAAACATAGTGTAATTATTTTCTTTTATGGAAGCAGGTGTTAGAATGGATAGCATTTGTAATTTAAAAACTGCTATACTTAACCCATAATCTTAGTATTTTCCTTTTCCAAACAGATGTGTTTCAGGTTGTTGAAGAGACTTGATTTGAATTTATTGACTTTCAAGACAGTTTGCCTATATCATAGTAAATGAGCTTGTCCTTAGGTCATTGCTGCTGTCTTACTATTCATTTATATAGACTTAAAAGCAAAATACAATACGGTATTGTACTGAAGTATGACAGTAACCTTTGGTGAAGGTCAAGAACTGGACAAGAATAGGCAAGAAGAGGCTGTTGGTTTAAAGTACAGAACTGTCAACTTGTTTTTTAATTGTGTCACCCAGAAAAAAAATATACAGTATTGTTATTTTTGCTTATCTTTTTTTCTCTTCCCATTTAGTTAACTCTTTAAAACTTAGTAAGGTAGGATAAATGGCTTTCAGTCATTTGAATGATTATATTGAATGAGAAATGCACAAATATCTGATTCTAGAATAACTTTAATTGTGAGATTTCATAATAGCATATCCTATAATGGTAGAGAATACCTTTTTTATTCCTTTAGAAAGTTGCTTAAAGACTGAAGCATTTAGTTTCAAAGCTCTTCTCAGTCCACTGAATGGGCTGTCTTTTGCCTCTGTTTCTAATTGTCAGAAATCCCTTTCCCTATTCTCAAATCTTTTCATTTTCATTTTAAATTTCCTATCTCTGAACCTATAAAGGAGATGTGTACACAGCTTCTAATTTGAAATTAACCCCTTTTTGTAACTTTACTCATATCACATATATCAGTTATTTAATTAAATACCATTATGCTCTCAAAGCCATTATACTCCTACTTAGGGTAGTGAAAGTGTATGTAAGGTGAGTGGGTCTTGTATAGAAGCATCTTTATAATTCCCTTTTAAAACTGACTATTGGCTTTCTAATATTGGAGGGGAAATCTACCCTTAATATGCTACCATTGTTAGTGGGTACATAAATGTTTTTTTCTATGGATTCCTTTTAAAATATGTAAAGTGCAAGACTTCCATCTTGGTAACTAGATCTATTTGAATTAAAAATTAATAATACAGCTACTACTTTTCACTTTGCATCTTTTGACTAATTGCAATACTAATTTGTTTACTTCCTTTCTTCATTTTTGCTGTAATACATTTGGACTGCACAGATCCTTTCTCTGCTACTATAGATGCTGTTGATGATGCCATTCCAAGCTTAAATCCTTTCCTCACAAAAAGTAGTGGTGATGTTCACCTTCCCATTTCTTCAGATGTATCCACTTTTACTACTAGGACACCTACTCATGAAATGTTTGTTGGTAAAGTACCATTTAACCTTTTTTCCAATTAATGTTTATACTATTTCTTATATATCCATTAATTACTTTTAAAGCACTGTAGTAATTACTATAGACTTTAACATCAGATTTTAAAATAAATGAAATAACAACAGCAATAACAATGTAATGAGGTTCTAAAATTCATACTACTATACCTAATTTTATTTAATGCAGGTTTCTAGGAAAGAAAATTTTCTTTGATGTTGCATTTTTTTCTTCAGTGTTTTGTCTATGCAGTACTTTGGCTGGCTAGTATCACAGGTAGCATGCTGTTTTTCAGTTCAGAATATTGATTAAAAAGTGACATGTACTTAAACGTTTTCCCCTCTGTTCAGAGAGATACTGTTTTTTTATTAGTACTGATAAGTGAAAAGTAAAAATATGTACTATATTCCATTTTAATTTGTAAAGTGGGAAAGCAGTTTGGCGTGAATAACCTGTCACTGAGATGTAAAACAAATAAGGCAAAATTTCATACCTTAATTATGTTAGAAAGAGTAAGTTTCTAACTATACACTAAAGCTGAAAGAACACTTATGAATCCTTTAAAAATATGCTAATTAGCCCCTTAAAAGATGGTGAAACTTTTATTTAGTTCAATCAGTTGAAGGTGATACGGATTTAAATATTTGATTAAAGCAGCATGCAGAAAGTCATCTCTGTATCCTGAACAAACCACGTGGCCACATCCTAAATATTCTGTTATATATATGAGAAAAAAGGAAAGGAGCAATAGTAGAAGGAAGGAACAGAGGTAATTGGAAAGCAAGTTAATAGAGAGGACTAGAGAATGTTCCAAGTCTAGCTATATATAACTAGTCTGATAGTTTATTTAAACTATTTATATACCCAAAATGTAATAATTGATTGAAGTAATTTCTTGTTGTAACAGCACAAAATTGTTAACCCCTTTTCTATGGGATTGGAAACTAGAAAAAAATGTCAAGGAATAGCTTTGTATCTAGGAATAGCTTTGTATCCACACCCACCCTTGCCTCCTTCCAAAACACATTTATCAGATAATATAATGCTTAATGGGTAATGGGTAGCTTGTCCTCAGTGAAGCTTTAACAATTAATTAATTGAAAATCAAGGAGAATGGGTTATGGTCTTCATATGCCGCATATGTGAGTCTCTTGTGAACTGGTCTAGGCCTGCTTCCTCATGTGAAAAGAAGATAGTGGTGGGGCTGGGGATTCAGCTCAGTAGCACTGTGCCTGCTTTGCAAGTGCAGGGTCCTGAGTTCAATCCCCGGTACCTCAAAAAACCCAAAAAACAAGTGAGTGTTGGATTAAAAGGCCAGCTGCCCTACATTACTTGAGATAGTGTTGGATTTATTATTTTTTAAATTTGATACAAATAGTAATCTCTCCTTCCCTTTAATAGAATACTCATAATGAAGCCTTATTTTCTCTTTTTAATAAGTTGAAAATGCTGTTTATTTATTTATTTTCCTCATTGAGTTTATTGGTACATTTTAGGTATGCAATACAGTTACATTCATTATTGGGATCTTATACCTTTACATGACAGGTCTTGGTTCTCATGTTTTCCCCTTGTCCCTGCCCTCCCTTCACCCCTTCCTCCCCTTCCCATTTACAAACATTTTATTTCCATTTTTTCATTTTCTCCTATTTTTTTCCCTTATTACCTTTCCCCTACCCTTCCCACTTTCCCTTCACCTTTAGCCCTTTTCTTTCCATTTCACATTGTCAGTTATCTCATTATTGAAAATGCTGTTTAAAAGCCCTCATATTTTGTTTTTCTTTTTCTTTTTATTTGTTAAAATTTATATATTTTTTTGTTACTGGAGATCGAACTCGAGTGCTTGCACTTATGAGACAGGTGGCAAAACCACTGAGCTAAATCCCCAGCCCACTTTTTATTTCTTTTTAGTTATTCCATCCCACTTTTAAACTATTTACCTTCTCCTTTTTCTTTTCTTCCTTCTCTTTTTTCTCCAACCCTCCCTTCATACCATTTATGCCTTGTTAGAAATTTTTTGGAACTCAAGTTTATCTTAATATTTCCTTTATGTACCATGAACCTTCTGTTGTAGCTAGCATATTTAGTGATAATGAAATTTCTAAAATTTATTCAGGAGAAATTTCTTTTTTTTCCCCCTAAAATGGGTAGTTTTAAATCTTCTCAAGAAAAAACATACTTACTTGCTTGTGAACAACCATTTCATACCTAATTTTTTTTTCAGCTTTAAATGAATTTATTGGTACATTTTAGGGATACAGTACAGTTACATTCATTGTTGGGATCATGTACCTCTACATGACAAGTCTTGATTCTCATTTTTTTCCCCTTACCTCTGCCCTCTCTTCACCCCCTCCTCCCCTCCCCATCTACAAACACTTTATTTTCATCTTTTCATTCTCTCACATTTTTTTCTTTTCCCTTTTTACTCTTCCCTACCCATCCCACCTTAATTGAATACATTGTGTTTCTGATTAGATGCCTGTCATTTTACTTTACTCCATATTCAGATATTACAAATTTTCAGAAGAGTATATGACCTTTTAATATTAAAGCTTATGGAATTAAGACCTTTTTGTATATTTATCTGTGTCTTGTCTTTCCAAGTACATTCTTGACTAATGTAGTAGTAGTAATAAAAGTTCAGCTGACGTGTATGAGTATGTGTATAATATATATATATACACGTAGATGATTTGCTTAGTTAAGTTGCCATTAAAAGTAGGTATCACGCACTAAAGAATTGAGGTTCTTGGCAAGTAGTAAGAATTGGACATAGCTAAATGTTTAAAAATGGAATTTATGATGGCTTTTGATAGAAAAATTCTCTTGTAGTATAGCAAATGTGAGTTTCAATTCATTAACTGTGGACTTTACTCTTTAGCCTTTATAGACCTATGAATGTTGGTAAAATAGTGTCTTGAAGGACTGTCATGAAGTTCATGTGCATGGCTGATGTATATCTATCCCCTATGCCTGGCATATTATAAAGCTACTACTGTTTAAAACTATCTTATATACTTGGATTGTTTCATACTTCAAATGTACTTCTTCCCTAAATTATTTAATCAGACATGATCTTGAGTGCTATTTTTGCAATATTTCTCAGTTTTTTAAATTATCAAGGGTTAGTTACTTTTTTGTACAATATTAGCAGTGAAAAACTTCAGAAGTTCTTGAAACTTGAATCGTTTTTAATAAGAATTACAGCTATAACTTATTTTCATACTTAGAATGGTAGTTTGTATAAGATTAGAATATAAGTTTGTGTAAGATGTATACCTTGGATAGATGGAAAATTTCAAATAGTTTCTAGAATCAAATAGAAGTTCAGGTCTTCATTTTACAACTTACTAAATCTTTGACTTTGGGTAAATTTTGTAGTCTCTTTTTTTTTTTTAATTAAATTGAATTTATTGGTACATTGTAGGTAGATGGTACAGTTACATTCATTACTGGGATCTTGTACCTTTACATGCCAGGTCTTGATTCTCATTTTTTTCCCCTTGTCCCCACCCTCCCTTCACCGCCTTCTCCCCCCACCTTCAAACACTTTAATTGCATTTTTACATTTTCTCATATTTTTTTCCTTTTCCCTTGTTCCCCTTTCCCTTTCCTTCTCACTGTCCCTATACCTTTGGTCCTTTTCTTCCTATTTCACATTGCTAATTGTCCCGTTAGGATCTTGAGTACTATTTTACTTTTTCATACCAGAGAAACTATTTGGTATTTGCATATGTGTGACTTATTTATTTCAAGTATATCCTCAAAATGTACCCATTTGCCTATGAATGAATCTACTTTCTCATTCTTTATGTCTGAGTAGTATTCCATTTTATAGAGAAACCACATCTTCTTTATCCATTTTCCAACTGATGGACAAATGGGCTGTTTCCAAGTTTTAGCTATTATTACAAACTGTGCTGCTATAAAAATAGGTGTGCATATATTACTGTGATATGATTCTTTTAATTCTTTTGGAAAGATACCCAGCAGAGGGATGGCTGAGTCAAATGGAGCCTCTAATCCTAGTTCTTTGAGGTATCTCCATATTGACTTCCATAGTGGTTGCACCAGTCTACACTCCCACCAACAATGGGGAAGGGTTCCTTTCTCCCCAAAACTGCGCCAACATTTGTTATTATGTGATTTCTTGATAGCAGCCATTCTTTGTGGGGTGAAGTGAAATCTCAGTGTTGTTTTCATCTGTATCTCTTGAATGACCAATGATGTGGAACATTTTTTCATATATTTACTTGCTGCTTTTATTTCTTTGTATGAGAAATTTCTGTTCATTTCAGATGCCCATTTTTGAATTGGGTCTTTATATTTGAGGGGGCTGGTTGTTTTGAGTTCTTACATATTCTAGATAATAGTCCTTTGTCTGAGGAGCAGCTGATAAAAAGTTTTTCCCACATTGTAGGTTATCTCTTAGTTCTGTTGATGGTTTCTTTTGCAGTGCAGAAGCTTTCTAATAGATGACATCCCAGTTGTTGATTCTTTCTGCTAGTTCCCATGCTACTGAGGATTTGTTCATAAAGTCTTTTCAATGCCATTGTCTTCTAGAGTTCTGCCTAACTTATCTTCCAGCAAGTTTAGTGTTTTTGTTTTTATATTTAGATCTTTAATCCACTTAGATTTAATTTAGTGCATGGTGACAGATAAGGGTCTAGTTTTAATCTTTTGCAGGTTGAGATCCAGTTTTTCCAACACTATTTATTAAAGAGGCTATCTTTCCTCCAGTGGGGGCTATCAGCTCTATTCCAAGGATGCAAGGATGGTTCAACATATGTAAATCAATAAATGTAATACACTGTATTAACAAAGTCAAGGACAAGAACCACATGATCCTCTCAATAGATGCCGAAATAGCATTTGACAAAATTCAACACCCATTCATGATAAAAACTCTGCAAAAAATTGGAATAGATGTTCTGTATCTCAACTTAATAAAGGCTATCTATGAAAAACCAACAGCCAACATCATATTAAATGGCCAAAAACTGAAAACCTTCACGTTAAAATCAGGAACAAGACAAGGATGCCCACTATCACCACTTCTCTTCGATATAGTTCTGGAAACATTAGCCATAGCAATTAGACAAGAGAAAGAAATTAAAGCAATAAAGATCGGAAAGGAAGAAGTCAAATTGTCATTATTTGCTGATGATATGATACTCTACATTGAAGACCCTAAAAACTCCACCAAAAGACTTCTTGATTTACTAGACACTTTTAGCAGAGTAGCTGGATGCAAGGTCAACACCCAAAAATCAATAGCCTTCTTGTACACAAATAACAGACTCACTGAGAAAGAATGTAGGGAAACAGTTTCTTTCATAATAGCACCCAAAAAAATGAAGTACCTGGGAATCAATCTAACAAAAGAAGCAAAAGACCTCTACACTGAAAACTACAGCACTCTTAAAAAAGAGATCGAGGAGGATATAAGAAAATGGAAGGATGTCCCCTGTTCCTGGGTAGGAAGAATCAACATAGTGAAAATGGCCATACTACTGAAACTGCTATACAGATTCAGTGCAATGCTAATTGAAATCCCAACACTATACTTCACAGAACTAGAAAGAAGAATCCAAAAATTCATTTGGAACCATAAGAGACCTAGAATAGCAAAAGCCATCCCTAGGCAACAGACACATGGCAGCGGGAACAACAATTCCAATTTGAAACTATACCCCAAAGCCACTGTGATAAAAACAGCATGGTACTGGCAAAGAAACAGACCTGAGGATCAGTGGAACAGATTGGAAGACACGAAAACAACTCCAGATGCACTCAGCTACCTCATCTTTTGTAGTCTCATAATTTCCCTCATCTGTTTGCAAAATAATAGTTAATCTACTGTTGCAGCTTACTCAAAATATCCTTACAGGCATGTTCAACCTGTGGTCCTCCATTTCTCTGCCCTCATGTTTGTAAGTGAAGAGAAATTGTCTTTGGCAGCATATAAAGTGAATAATATAGTTAATGTATACAAGTAGCAGATATTCCTTTAAAGACTCTTTTTATATTATAACATTAAAACAGTGGGCCACAGGTTAGATGTTCCTCTACATAGAGATTTTTTAAATGAGATATATGCTTTATATCCTTTCTAACCTTTCATACTTTCAAGTAATAATACTGTAATTTCACAGGTTGATGCCCTTAGGGACTTGAGATGGTTCCTCTCTTTATAGAAAGTAACAAAGTTTTTTCTGTATTACTATAAAGGATAAATTTGTTTGTGTTACATCAGTCAAATTCTGCAAAGCTAATCCATCATGGTGGCACATGCCTGTAGTCCCAGCACTAGAGAGGCTGAGGTAGGAGGATTGCTGTGAGTTCAAGCCCAGCCTAAACTACATAGGAGGCTTGTGTTAAAAAGAACAACGAAAACTTTAGAAAGCTGAGACAATATAGCAGGAGAAAGTAGGAATTTGATATGTTGGCCTACTTTTAAAGTATTAGTCTAGAATGCCTTGAACAGTATGCATACTTCTTACATGATGATGGTAGCGTGGGCATGTAAGTACGCATGATAGATTTTTGTCTTTAAAAATTTGAGAAGAACCAGCAAGACCATAATAGAGTTAAAACTTGTACACTAAAATGTTATTAATTTGATGTCTCAAATTCTAAGATCCTTTTGATGAATGTTGGATTTGTATATTAAATTATTATTTTGATAGTGTTTCTGTTTTCTATGTAGGACGAGGATCTTTGAGTTAAGAGTTTAAAGGTTGCAACAAATCAAAATTGTACATTCTCAAAAATTTGTGCTCTACAGAATATTCATTATATGATCTAAAATGCTACTTTTAAAGTAGTATCCTTGATAGCACCTTGTTTGGATTATTGTTTTCTAAATTACTGTTTTCTGATTTTTCTCTCCACATTTTGTCCTTTAACAGTTTTCTTTAAGACCAATCTCTCTAACTGTTGGGCGTGGTGGCCTATGCTATATCCCCAGCACCAAAGAGGCTGAAGCAGGAGGATTGCTGTGAGTTCCAGGACACCCTGGGCTACATAGCAAGACTCTGTCTCAGAAAATCATTAGTTTCTGTAGTACAGCATATTATCCTTGTACTTACTTTTATCCTGGTAGTGGACATTGAAAATTTAAAGTGAGAATCTTAACTAAAGGTGTTTTTCTATAAAGAAAAGAGTGAACATATGTTTATGACTCCAAAAGTTCGACTTCTCCCACATGGTGTCTGGTGGGTTTTGTTTTCTTACATTCTAACTTCATAGCATTCAGAGATGGAAGAGACCTAAGGAACCATTTATTACAGCCTTTTACAAGGTAATTTTTTTTCTTTTTTGGGGGGTTGAGGTACTGGGGTTTGAACTCAGGACCTGCACATTTGGCTACATCCCAAGCCCTTATTTATTTAAAGACAGTGTCTTGCTAAGTTGCCCAGGCTGTGTTCCAACTTGTAATTCTCCTGCCTCAACTTTGTAGAGTGCTAGGATTACAGGCATGTGCCACCACACCAAGCCAGTAGTTCCTTTTTGTGACTCAGTTTTTCATGTCCTGGGAGAAGCCCTAGTGCTTTTGGATAATTTTAGTGCTTTTCAGCTTTTAGAAATAAGAATTTCATTTCAGAAAAATAACACCTCACAAAATCTTGTATTTGTTATTCTGTCATAGGCTAGTCTCAAAGACAATAGCTTGATATTTGCTTAATAATACTACTAGTGTCAGTGTAACAACCGTAAAAAAAGGAAGTGTTCTGAGTTTGTTTTTTTTTAAGTAGATTAGGTTAATTAGTATGTTTGATTGTATACTTCTAACTTCTTTTGAAAGCAGGAAATTGAAATTAGAGGGTGGTTGGGAGTTGAAAGTGGTTTATCTTTTTAATGTTCTAAAGTATTTCAATGCAAGTGGACATAAGTTACTGGGTAGCAACTTTGAGAATCCTGCCATATCTCAGATAAACTAAACCATTTAGCTTTTGCTTAACTGTTGAAGAAAGGAAGGTGAGAGATATATATCAGGTGGGTGGTAGACATGTAGGTAGAGAGAATTTTATTTTGGGAATATCATATTCTAAGTACCATAGCATACTTATTTTATTTTCAAATGATACTTTACATTGCATATGTATGTTGCTTTATGCCTCCTGCAGTTTTAGATGACTTCAGATTTTTAAAAGGTTATCAGCATACAAAATTAAAGTGAAAGAGAAACAAGATTTTATTTCTATGATAAAGCAAATAGTCCAACATCAGCTGCTCTTTCATTAATTTTGTCTTGTTGTAGAAAATATAATCAACAAATATTGGTAGTGTAGAAAAAATTTTACAGCTACTGTGCTCTCTCTTTCTCACATACAGGGGTCTGCTCTCACCCTGTAGATGTAACTATTTTCCTAATTTTAATTGGCCCAAACTTACTATGCAGAGCAGCATGTTTCTTTTCATTCCCTTCTTTTGATAAATGTAAAACCTCACTACCTTAAACATTTTTAAATTTTACTTTATGTTTTTAGCTTGAGAGCTAGCTTTGGATTTTGTCAGGGGATTTGTTGCTTTTTGTCATTCTATTTATTAACATTATTGAAGAGCTTATATAGCATTATTAAAGAATTGAGCTTTTTCCACTTTGTTTTTTCTCAGGATTCACTCCTTCTCCAGTTGCACAGCCACATCCCTCAGCTGGCCTTAATGTTGACTTTGAATCTGTGTTTGGAAATAAGTCTACAAATGTTATTGTAGATTCTGGGGGTAAGAAATATTTTTAAATTTAAGTACTATTATCTAATTTGGATTCTGTGTAAGGAAGGATAATGTTACTTTTTTTTTAGCATTTATGAAACAGTGAAAGTGTCCAATATCTGCCCAACTACTGCAGGATGAGTTAAGGAAGTTTAAGTCATCATACTTTTCTTGGTGGTCATTTAGACTGGGAAAATTATCTGTGCCCCAGAGTATAGGAAAGAAAAAGATTTATCACTAGAATGCTAATTTTCAAGTTACTGTGTTTAGAATGTAGTGACTTTTTAAGTCATTATAATTATTTGAATGAAATGAGTACCTTATATTATATGAAATTGTTTTTGATATGTAAAATATAACCCATAGAACCTTAACTTGTTTATGTTAAATATCAGGCTTATGAGTATAGGAGTTTTTTATTGTTAAGGATGATTTTTGTGGTGTACCAGTTTATTTGTTATAAAAACTTTATAAATCTGTAGAGCAAGTTTGCACTTTGTACTTATGTTAATAATACATTGTTAATTTGAAGTTTATGAAGTTCTTTAAAAATTTGGGCATTTTGATTCTACTTTTATCATATCAAGGCCTTTGATGTTGTTCCATAATTCAATTTAGCCAATTAAAGAAAATACGAAGGTCTTAATTTTATATACTTATCTATAAAATGAGAATCAAGTGTTCATGTATGGACTAGGAATTTATTTTTATGTGCACTTAGTTTATTATTATACATACATTTGGGATACATTTGACGTTTTCCTTTTAGATTTGTCTTGCCTAGGAAAAGTCAGACTATAATTGTTCATACTTTGTAAACCACCACCTTGGAGAGTTCCATTTTTAAAAACCTCTTTAGTATTTCTAAATCATGCCATATGAGTCCCTGATTGGGTTGGTTTGGTTGGATTTGCTTTTACCTTACATCTTTGGTTGGAGAAGCAGGAATTTTATTTTCAATTTCAAGATATATGCTAGTTTACTAGATGAATTTCTGCAGTTAGAGCAGTTCATTCATTTCTTAGATACAGTTTAGGTTAGCTCTTACATTATCCATTTTCAGGAATATAAAAAGGTCTCTAAAATAGTGTTTCTCAAATTAAAAGGAACTTTTTTCAAAGTTGGAGAGAGAGATAATCTACCTGTATTGCTTTAGATATAATTGAGTGTTCACAAAATTTGCCAACTAAGGATGAGAATTCATTTCTGTTTCCTTCCCTTTCCTGGCTCTTTTTGTCCCTTTTATTCAACCTTATTGTAATTTTTTCATGGATAAATCACAAATGGTATCTGTTAAAGTACAGCCTTCTCAGTCAGTTCACTTTGAGGTCATAAATTTCTCCTTTTTTCCATTTGAGCAAGGGTATTTACTGATGTCCGGTTTTGGAAGAACTTTTCCAATGACCAAGCAAAAAGAAAAACACAAAGACCTCCTTTAGAAAGCTTTAGCACCATAAAGTTCCTTACAACTCCTATTTCATCTGTTTGTAACTTTAAGGCTTTGATGAACTAGGTGGACTTCTCAAACCAACAGTGGCCTCTCAGAACCAGAGTCTTCCTGTTGCCAAACTACCGCCTAACAAGTTAGTATCTGATGACTTGGATTCATCTTTAGCCAATCTTGTGGGCAGTAAGTAGTCTTTGCATTCTGTAATCATCTTTAAAATAAGTTGTTTTATTAAAAATGATTCTAGCTTTTAAATGCTCTCCCCCCTCCTAGATCTTGGCATCGGAAATGGAACCGCAAAGAAGTGAGTGTTTTATTTGTATTCTTTCCCCATGTGTCATTTAGAAGTTGATTTGGCTTTCATCTCACAAGTATGTATAGATGTTAAGTCTGCATCATAAATGCTTTGTTCACTCTTAAGTGTATATATAGTACAGAAACTTTATAATTAGATGTTAAATAATCTCACTATACTTATTCATTTAAAGTGATGTAAATTGGAGTCAGCCAGGTGAAAAGAAGTTAACTGGAGGATCTAATTGGCAGCCAAAGGTTGCACCAACAACTGCTTGGAATGCTGCAACAATGGTGAGTTGGAGAAGTTCCTTGTACAAATCAACAAATGAATATTTTATTTAATGTGTAACCTGAAATTCTTTTAAAAGTGAAATCCGTAAATGGAAACATCGTTGCTGAGTTTTTGCAGTATACATAGTTACTGGTTTTTGTTTTTGCTTTTAAGCTGGTTGGCTGTATTTGCCAGATAGGTTTTAGAAGCTAACATGTATTTATGAAGCCTATGTGGTGGGAAATACTATTTTTCCCATCTTATAAATGAGGGAATAGAGCCACAAAGTTAAGAAATAGGTACATAGTCACTGAATTCTTAAGTGATTAGATGCATTTTTAGAACCCAGTCAGCCTGAGAGCTGCAGAGAATATGCTGGTAATCACTGCTATATATTGCTGGCCTCATTTATTACTGATTTGTAAAGAATATAAAATCTTTAATTTTCTTCTAATCTCATCATTAGTCAGAAAAGTGTTTGCTTGATTTTTATTAATATTGTCCTATAATTTCATAAAGTTGATTCTGATCATTTGTAGTACTTAAATATTTAATGTCATTTGGAAAGCTAAACTCGTGAACACTGAACCATTGCTAGGAGAAATATGTACCTATATACACATATCTCACAAATATTATAATTCTAAGTCCTAAAAAAAAAAAACCAAAAAAACCTAGTAGATTTCTTTTTTTCTTATTTCTCAAGAGAAAATGAGGCTCATAAGTCTTAAGCAACTTGCCTAAGGCCGCAAGTGCCACTGCCAGCATTGGAATCCTAACCTTATCCTTCTGGCCTCAGACGAGAGATGCTTGCAGTAGTACCCTAGACTGCCCCATACCTTCTCTATCCTTTGGTTATCTTCATGTGAAAAACAAAACAAGGTAAAGCATACTGCTTTTTCTACCTCAGCTGGGAAAGAGCTGCGTCTGGTGACTCAATTTTTATGCCCCTTTGCCCATGTACTTGAAAAGCATTGAAACCTCTGTAGATACTGACTTTGGGAGCATAAATTTTAGCAAGCAGGCAAATTTTCAAATAGAATACACAAATAATGAGGACTAATGTTGTTTGCTAATTAAATATAGTACCTAATACTGAAGAGATTTTAATAATATAAGGTACTGTAAGGCATGGTAGGCCCAGAAGAGCTTTAGGGCTATTTCTCTGCCCATGTCCAGCTACTATTTTACCAATCTATCAAGTCTCCCTTGGTCAGAGACATAGTTTTTGTGGAAAATTTGAGACATCTGTTGTCCTTGTGATAGCAGTTTTCTTATCAAATCCCTTGTAGAACCTTGTCCTGTTTAACTTGGCTTACTTGTATATTAAAATTAGAAGGACTAAGCTAAAAATACTATGTGGGTAAAAATTTCATGTGACATTCCAAAGGAGATTTATTAGCTTCAGACTTCATGAAAGGAAAATAATAGTGAAATTAGCTATCTTCTTAAGCCAGCAATTTTTCACAGATAGTTGTCATTACTGTAATTAATAATAAACTCTTGCATTTAAATACCTTAGGTTTTTACATGCGTGCAAACAAGCATATATATATCCTCTACCCTAAGCTTAAACTAGAGTGCATCCTTGGGAAAATTTGAATGTACATTATCTCAGTTTTAAGTCTAAAGCTATCTGAGTCTCCCTCTCCTCCATATGTAAAGCAGTTGGAAAGCAGATTTAAATTGAAATCCATCGTTTCTGATTGTGAATCTAGTGTTTTTCTTGCTACAACACCCCTCACTCACTAGGGGATGACAGTTTGGGTTAGTGGATTTTATGGTCTTAGGTGTGAATTATACATTAATAGTGTGAGGAATGGTATAAATACAAAGGCCTATATTAAAATGCATTGTGTTTTGCTTTTTTATTAAAGTAGTATTAATATATATGAAATATTATAGCTAGCACTTAAGACTGATAGCTAGAGTGTAACAGGCATCGAACCATCCAGAATTTATGCGTAAGTTGCATTTATAAGAATTATGTATATAAGGATTATATACAATTCTTATAAATAAGAATTTATATAATAAGATAGCAGCATTTATAGTAGTGTGTCAGATATGGCAGTGTGTATCTTCTCTTCTGGAGATTCTAATATCTGTATGTATTTTATGGGTTTCTTTTTAATGGTTAATGTGTGGGGCTACTTAGGATAAATTGCTGCTTATGACATTTCTTTACATTTCTAACCTTTTTATTAATCCTTAAGCACTGTCAAGGTTTTTGTATTTTTTTAAAATAATGAATTTAAAACAAATTAATTAGAATTTTATTAAAATACATCTTATGACAATTTTTTTATTAATGCTTGGTCCCACCCCGTTGGTAGACAGCTGATGTAGCCTCACTTATGGGACACTCTGCATTTTGCACTGTTGACACTACTGGTAGATTTTATGTTAATACAGTTGCTATCAGTGAACTGTTGTGCAGAAGGGTAAGGCTAAAGACTCACCTTCCCTTGTTAACCTTGATAGTGTTTTGGTATAGATGTTCTTTCATTAGATACTGGGAATATAAGGGGTGTTAGGTAGGTAGTGAATGTACATGTGAACTAAAATGCTCTCTTGTGTATTTTCTGTTGTGTAAGTACTTGTTCTAATCCAGTGTTATTGCATTATGTAATTGTTCTCCCTGGAAAAAACAGAATGGCATGCATTTTCCACAATACGTAAGTGACCAAAAACTAGCCTTTTTGCAATAAACTGGCATGCTATTAACCACTGCTGCAGCAGAATCTCATAACCTTCCAGCTATTGTTTTCACATTCAGATTTTCAATGTGCCAAAAATTCTTCCTAGCATCTACTGATTTCATGGATGTGTTGCAGAATTGATTCTGATGGTGGCATGGGAAATACCACTTTTTTTTTCTTGCTTAATATACTGCCATTTGCTGCCAGATGGCTGGGTGTCTGTGTGTGTATCTGTGCTGCCACTATGCACTTGATGACTTCTGAATGAAGGGAAATGTTGATTGTGGTAATGTTTAAAATAACAACTGCATGAAATCTTACAGGCTTCTGCTGAACTTGGCAGTCTGTCTACTGCTCTTTTAGATTTTGATTTTAAGTAGGGAGAAATAAGTAAGCCCTACATGCTCACCCAGATACTAAACTTTTAACTGATAACTTAATGTTACTTTTTAAAAGTTATGCTTCATTTAACTTTTTCATGCCTATGTTCAAATTGCCATGTAATTTTAATTTTTGTTTTTTTCTTAATGTTCCAGCAGTGCTATTGATCTTTTACCTGTATTCAGTTTCAGTCTACATTGTGAGAAACTAAGGGAATGTTGTTAAGACAGCAACTGTCTCTAAACTAATTCTGTTTTCAGATTGTATACTTACAAATCATTAAAGTATCAAGAGGAAGGGAACTTAAACATCATAGTTGTAAATGGTTTCCTTTATTCACTAAAAATAAACTGACTTAAAAATTGATTGTTACTTTGAAGTAAATTAGAAAGAATGTTAACATACATACTCTCTATGTAAGAACCGTAGCTCATAGAAATATTCATACTCAATATTGATTTGAAATATTTGGGGTTCTTTGAAATTAATTAATGAAGTCTTTAGAAGCTTTTTTTTTTAGAGAGATCAGATTATTGATCTGGAGTTTTACAGTTTTGTTTTATTTTTTTTAATGCTACATGTCAGAATATTCAATACTACTGCTTTTTCTTGGTAAACATTTTTAATGATAGTGATAGACTTTAAGTTTGTTTGTTTGTTTGTTTGTTTGGGGGTTTTTGAAATAGGCCTCATTCTGTAGTTCAGACTGGCCTTGAACTCACTATGTTGCCCACACTGGCCTCAAACTCACATCAGTCCTCTCGAGTACTGACATTAGAGGCATGTGCCACCATGCCAAGAACAATTTTAGAATTTTGAATATTTTTTAAAATACAAAAATTTTTTTGTTTTTTATTTTTGTGGTGTTGGGTATCCAGGCCAGAGCCTCAACACACGATAGGGCAAGTGCTCTATCAAAACTGTTTAGAGCTGTAAATGTATGTTGAGATCTTAAATCATTGTTGTATCCAAGTTTGTCATAAATTTTTCTTTTTGATAATTCTGCTTTTCTGCTAATTTTAAGATAGTTTTTCATTGAACATTGAAACAATTAATGGTCACAAATATCCCTTAATCACAGCTGTCTTAGCAATTTTTTAGTGAAACAGTAGCTTTTAATTCCTTGAACTGGATTAACACACGTGAGTTATACTTTTTTATTTTTCCTCCCATTATGTCAGGCACCACCTGTAATGGCCTATCCTGCTACTACACCAACAGGCATGCTGGGATATGGAATTGTGAGTATTTTTCCCAGTGCAAATTTTGGAAAACAGATTGAATTGCATTGAGCATTCTTTTATTACAGTGTTAACTGATAGAATTTAGCACCTTATATACTATCAAACCTAGTGTCTTAACACAATGGTACCTTAGCTTTTGTTTCATAAGTAATTCTAGAACAATCAGTATACAATAGATACTATTTTTCACATTAATTCTTTGGTTTATATTTCTCATGACTGTGCTAGGCATGTTGTTTATGTTCGTACCAAGCTTTTGTTATGGTGACCTTACATTAAATATATTTAGTTCTTATTACCTTAGTACTATAGAGAACGAGAAAACTTGAATCATACAGGTTTACATTTAGTCTGTTACAGGCCAGAAAGATTTTTCCCATGACAGTGAATGTTATGTTATAAAAAGTCTTTTAACCTTTACACTCCCACATGCACATTCTATGCTTATTCTACCAACCTGTTCTGTATACAGATTTACTTAGTTAACAATTGTAGGTAGTGACTTCAGTCTGGTGGTATATATTTTTGGAACTGATCCTGGGCGGAAGATGCACTTTGGTATTACTGCTCTGTCTGCTGTGCTGCTTTATGTACCCAATACCAAAATCGCTCCTTTGGTACATATGAAGAAGTTTCACAGGTTTTGGTTTCTGTTCACACCCATAAACATAAGTATCTTGATATATAAATATTAGAAAGGTCAAATAAGACGTCTTAAAAGATAAGATTTTAGAGCATTGTGTTTCAACCAAAATAATATCGTAGTCTGTGTATGTATTGTTTTCAGAGAAACAGATTGTTTGAGATTCTGTTTTCATTTACTCAAAAATGAATTAACTTCTTTGTGTAATTTAAGCATCTTGTTGATTCTTCCTAAAAATATAATGAAATTCCTAAAATAAAATGAAAACTACAGGCTGGGGAATTAGCTCAGTGGGTTCCACAGCCTGTGTCGCAAGCAAACACAAGGACCCAAGTTTGATCCCCAGTAAGAAAGTCAGTGTCTTATGATGAGAAGGACATCACTCTCTAGCCCCCCAAAATAAAATAAATAAATAAAAATAAGAGAATTACAGCCAGTAAACTTCTTTTTAAAAGATCGGTTGTCTTCACTTGTGATCATTTGCTTAATGTCATAAAACCTCGATATATAAAAGCAGATTATTTTGAAGTACATTAACAGTTTAGAAATAAATTTGGAAATTTTGGAAGCTTTCCAGTAAATCATTTCATGTATTGCATATAGTGAAGTTTATAATTTTCAACTTACTGAATGGAAAAAGTTAGGCTTTCTAACCACCCCTTTAAAAGGTACATGCTAAGTTTAAGGAAGGTATGAGTTAAAATCCCTTAACTTGCTATTCTTCTACCTTTTTTTTTTTAAGCCTCCTCAAATGGGAAGTGTACCTGTAATGACACAGCCAACCTTAATATACAGTCAGCCTGTCATGAGACCACCAAATCCCTTTGGTCCTGTATCAGGAGCACAGGTATTACATTCTGCATATAACTGTTGTAATGTGCTTGATTTTGAGAAGCTATAATACCAAAAAACGTCCTTTCACACATCTTAACGAAACAAGTTATTAGCATTTTTTACTCAAGTAACACATGAGTGTTACTTGCTTCATATCTTTCTCATATTAGAGCTTATAGTCTCTTGAGAGGCTGAGGCAAGAGGATCACAAGTTTCAAGCCTAACCTGGGCAATTTACCAACTTAACAAGATCCTGTCTCAAAATTTTAAAAAGGTCTGGGGGTTTAGCTCAGTGCTAAGGCCCTGGGCTCAGTCCCCAGTGCTGGAAGAAAGAAAGGAAGACAATTTTTAGGAATGTTGATTATTTGGAGGGAAAGCACAAGTAGAATACAAATAAAAAGATGGAAAATTCTAGATAACTTCTCTTTGGTGGATCCACGGGATCCTTGGTTGCTTGCTTGAATGTTGTTACATCAAGAATATTGCCTTTGGGAAATTTGTAAAACTCTTGTTGTCTCTCCAGAAAGCTGTTTGTATTATTATTATTTTTTTTTATATTAGGTAACTTACTGCTACTGATGATTGTATTAAAACACAAAAGGATCAGAAAAGCTTGAAATGGCCATTCTGACCTAATTTCTTTAAATGAGAAACTTTCATCCTCAGGTATTTCTAGGGATCTTTCCAGTAACATTCCCTAAAAATTCACTCTACTATGCACTTTTTGAGCCCATTATTGATAGCATTAGATGAATCTGGATTTTTTTTTTTTAATCTTTGTATCTGTTCTGTGTAAATAGATACGAAATTCCCTTTTTACTTAGGTCTTTGAGTCACTTGTGAAGCAGATGAATCTGTTTTTTTTTTTTAATCTTTGTATCTGTTCTGTGTAAATAGATACGAAATTCCCTTTTTACTTAGGTCTTTGAGTCACTTGTGAAGCAAAAGGATGGCTTGTTCCTTCTGTGTGTCAGTGGTTCTGCTTACAACTTTTTAATGGAAATAGTCATTATAGATTGTTGAAGCATCTTTCAAATTACTTCTATTGCCAGCATATTAGTGACTGTATATGTTCGATGCTTATTTGAAAATGAGTATTTGGTAATGTACTTTTACAGTGTGAATACACATACGTATTACATTTGCCAAAGCATATAATGTTGTTTTGCTAAAGTTTTTATTAATCCAGTTTGAATCTATTCTTGTATTTCATAGACTAGTGAAGCAGAAGAGATTTTTTATTCAATTTTCCAGCCTTATTGAATATTGAAATTATATAGCAAATTAATATCTGTTGATTAGGAATGGATAGTGAATTTGCTTCTAATTAATAAAAATCTTGGGCCAGGGATTTAGCTCAGTGGTTTCACCACCTGCCTTGCAAGCACAAGGGCCCAAACTCAATCCCCAGTACCAAAAAAAAAGAATGTAAGGAGCCAGGCATGACAGTCCATGTTTATAATCCAGCATTTGTGAGGCCAGCCTAGATTACATAGAGGGTTCAAGGCCAGTTTGGACTACATTATGAGAACTTGCCTCAAACAAACATATATATATTTAAAGCATCCCCTTACCTTTGCTTCCATCTTAAAGCTACTTCAAGAAATTTCCCCATTTGTAAGAGTCAGAATGGGTGAAAAGATACTGAGCTGCTTCAGTTTCATTAAGTATCATTAAGTATCTATTGTTCTTATACTGCATTATTTTTTTATTGGCCTTATGGCTACATGACATGCATCAATCCAAGAGACACCCCTCCCAACCATTACTAAATAGTAAGCTTCATAAAGGCAGGCTTCTGTGTGGTATGTTTGCTTCTGTCCTAAGTTCCTAGATTAGTACCTGACTTGCAGTAGTTTTTAGATATTGCATATCAAATAAATCTTCATGAAATCTTGCCTTTCTTGTAACTTATTCTGCTCTTTTTTTTTTTTTTTTTTTTTTTTTTTGGTGTTTTGAGACGGGGGTCTCACTGTATAGTTGAGACTGACCTGGAACTCACTATGTAGCCCAGGCTGGTCTCGAAGTCGCAGCAATCCTCCTGCCTCAGCTTCCTGAGTGTTGGGATTACAGGCGTGTGCCCCCACTCCCAGCTGCTCCTCTTTAATCTTTACTGTCATATAATTGTAAACGTTTATAGCAGCAGTGTTCACACTTGGTGATTTATTAGATAATGGTTAATATAGCTGAAATGTTAACTGGCTTATCTGAGGAATGCAGATAATAATTGATTTCATGATTAAATTTTGTTTTTCTTTTTGTTGATTATTTATTTATTTATTTTTCTCATTGAATTTATTGGTACATTTTAGGTATACAGTACAGTTACATTCATTATTGGGATCTTATACCTTTACATGACAGATCTTGGTTCTCATTTTTTCCCCTTGCCCCTGCCCTTCCTTCATCCCCTCCTCCCTTCCCTATTTACAAATACTTTATTTCCATTTTTTCATTTTCTTACATTTTTTTCTTTTCCCTTACTTCCTTTTCCCTACCCCTCCCACTTCCCTTACACCTTTAGCCCTCTTCTTCCTATTATGTACAGTTATAGTCATGATTAAATATTTTTTTATAATTTGGAATTGTTTATCTTTGATGTGCATAGTGTCTTTCTCATGTTTTGATGTCAGTAATTCTGAGGCAACTCCTTGGATTGATGTTGCTCATTTAATGCTAGGTGTAACCAATATAATCTTTAAATTAATTGTCTTTTAATTATTCTGTAATTATTTTCCTTTTTTCTCACTTGGATGCAGATGTATTTGGGGACACAGATCATCTCTTTTGTACATTGTAAAGTTAGTGATTGTCTAAATGAAAAATGAAATCCAATCAAAATCCAATCTTTTAATCAAATCCATGTTGTAGAAGTATTGCCAAAACTCCTTCCTTATTTCTTTCTTGAAGTGTTATTTTGGGAGCCATTGCTCACCTACAGCGTAACAGAGAATTTCTGGTCTTTTGCCTATTATTAAAGCAATAATATTTTACAGCACCCTATTTTTTACAAATATTTTCTTGTTCCCATTTGGTAAGACATTCTAAGCAGTGTGTCATATTGTCTACATTATATTATATATGTTACATTAAATGCTCCATAGTATAGTGCTCACCAGTGAGAAAGGAATTCATATCTTCCAAAGAGCTGTCAGCTCAAGGTTTTGTTCTGGTGGAAAAATTATCTTCATTATAGCTTTAGTTTAGTAGGATATACTAGTTTTGAAACTTACATATATCTCCTCTCTTCATTTTGTGTTTTCCTGGTCCTGAGGATTAAAGTAGAGCCTTCGTGCATGCTAAGCATAATAAGCTCTATTATTGAACTATATCTTCAGCTCCCTCCCACCTCCCCTTTTTTGGTGCCAGTTTGTCATTCCTTTTTAAAAAAGATATTTTGATATATCTGTTAATCGCTTAGAGATGGGTACTGTATTATGTTCTTGTGGATATTTTTTAAATTTTGGTGTACACTAAATGCAGGTTTTTAAATGCTTGACTGCATGGAGAATGCTAAGTCCCTGGATTTTTTTTTTTTCTCTCTCTCTCTCTCTGCTTCTTCACGGTCTTATTTGGTATTTGATTGCTTGTTACAGGTTGTTAATGTGTCTGTATTGTCTTGGGCAGAACACAAACTCTTGCCTTTTATTGGTGCTACAGATAAATTTTAGTCGTGTTTATGTCAATTGGAATATCTGTTGCTCCCTAATAGTTTGTGAATTCATTCCACATTTGCAGTGCACAGCTGTTAATGTTACTAGGCATGAAGACAGTGAACCTGATTAATTTCAATTTTCTTTTGAAAGCCATAGTGATATTTCTCTAATAAATTTTTATATGGTTTTAGATATTGTAGAAGCTCTTTGGGAGAGGAGGGGAGAGGATCATTGTGCTTGTCATGATCGTACTACTTTCTTGTATGAGGAACTCACATTAATCCTATATTGGTCTGTTTTCAAAAGTACTGTGAAAACACTAGAGTGTTACATTTGGGCTTATTGAAAGCCCTCTTTGTTTCTTGATTGGTATTAGGGTTTTTGTGTGTGATACGGAGAGGACTGACAGTTTTGTTTAGGAGGATGTGGCTAACGATGCAAAATGACTGCTGTTTTTTGTTTGAGATGGCCAATTTTAAGTAAGTCTGACATCAGTCAAGTGCCTGAAAGGAAACAATGGCTTGTTGTGAGTGTTTTTTACCCTTCTAAATGGGGGCACTGTTTGCTTTAGATATTGGAATAACTCAAATCTTGCCAAAAAAATTTTTAATGACTTTCTTGTATGTAAAAACTAATGACTCTCTGCTCTTAGGTTTAGTTTGGTTTTTCTTGAGTTTGTTTTGGTTGGTTTATTTGTTTATTTTGTTTAACTTTCTTGTGTTGACTGTGGGTGTTGCTAGTGCTTCTTCAGCTGATGTGTCCAGCTAGGTTTCTGTGAAGAAGGCCTTTTGCCTTGAGAGCATTGTTGTGCTCACTTATCCTTGCCTACTATAAGATACTATGAAATAATATTTCTGAAACTGGAATTTAGTACTGTAGATGAAAACCTGGTTCTAAAGCTTCCAATGTACACTTGAGTCAGTCATAACAAAAATATTAGGAAGCCGTCAGCTGACCTTTTGTTAATAAGATAGCATGTATAAGAAGAAGGTTTTGCTTTCTAGGTGTTTGCTGAGAACTTGGTTTCTAAAAGTTCGTAATCTACTTAATAAAACCAGAAAGTTTCTTAAAATCGTGGGTGACTAAAAGTTCTACAGAATCTTAATAATCAACATCAGTGATCACATGTGGTACTTTCAGTATGGAAAACATGGGAATGTGTTGACTGTTTCCTAGAGAACTTCTTTCTATTATCACTTTAACTTCCTCCTATAAATAAAGTATAGACACAAATTCTAGATAAACTGAAGTGAGTGGGAGTAGCAGATTTTACCAGAAGTCTGGAGGTGGGATGTACCAGCCTTGGAGTTAGCAGACGTGCATTAGGGCCTGTGTTAGTTTCTGAAGCGCTGCCATA